CCTTTCCCCCGTCACTCTCTGTCTTCGTACTGCACAGTGTCGCCCGACGTGCTATCCGCCCTCGCTCCTCACATGCATCTCGCGCCGAACCCCGTTCGGGGTCAACTCATCTCCCACTTGCCTGGTGGTTCGCTGCCCACCCGTTCATTCTCCTCGCTATGCCCTCACCGCTGCCTACTCACTTCTTCCTTCCGCTTGTGTGCACACCCGCCTCAGTCGCCCACCTCGGTTCCGTTTTCACACGACCCTGGCCGGGAACACGCCCGGGTTCGTCCTTACTAGCCGCTGCGCCTACTGCCTGTTCCTCTGCGCATACGCCTAACCCATACATCGGTCCCGGTCCATTCATCCCCTTCGTTGCCTAAATGCCAGCATCTGCGCTGGCTGCCGCGCTCCTCCTTCGAACGTACCTCGTCACGTCGCCGACAGCGGAGCTCTCACCGGCGCAGCTCTGCGCTACAACGCCCGGACCGCAGAATCATCGAACGACGATTGTCAAACAGCGGCCGACGCCGGCCTTCCTCCCCCAACTTATGCGTGTCATCCGCGCGCAGGGGCCATGCTAATCTTCTCTGTATCGTTCCAATGTTAACAAATGTCCCGAAGGACCTCGGTCACGGCCACACCCCACGGCCCCCTTGCCACCCCCGGGAATCCTTAGCGCCATCCGTCCTGCGAGGCTGCCCACGGATCTGGCCTCCTTCCGCGGTCGGGTTCAGGCAGACACCTCCGGCGCGTGCCACGACGCGCAACAGCAATAGGTGCCCCAGCCTGCCGGCCCGTCCCACGCCTTAACAAATATCCCGAAGGATCTAGCCCCAGCGACACCTCACCCGCGACCCTTCCAACCCGAACCAACGGCCGCGGTACCACACCCCAGACCAAAACGGGACTGCGAGAACTAAAAAAGAAACATAAATAGAATAAAACAAAATAGTCGAGGTAAGAAAAACAAAAAAAATATCACACAAAATCCCCTAACTAGGGTACGGGGCCTCCCAAAGCCCCATCGGTCCTGCGGACCAGATCCGTCGCCGCCCCTATCAACAAAACCGAGGGGGGATAGCGCTGTCGGGCCCTCAGCCCCCTCAGCTTCCTCCACAATGCTCTGCCGCTGCTGCGTCGACGCTCACTGGCCTCGATCCTTGCATCCCTGTAGTAGTAGGGCAACGTTGTAACCTATAGGGCTAAGCCCAAGCCTGGTACAGCAGAGCACGGGCTTCAATGTGAAGTGGTGCCGCGCCTTGCCCAGGTCTGGGAAAAACAGCCTAGGCCCTCCTTTCCCACCTTCAACCGGTGCGCCAACGCCCGACACTCACGCCGGCCTACTTAGACCCTATCGCGGCCAACCCGCGCACCTACCGGCGCGTCAACGCTACCGTCGGCCGCGCACACCACCCAAGAATGACTTTAATCCCCTAAACAAAAACCGTAGCACGGCCCAGGTCGGTCGACTAGACCGGTCGCTCCCTTAACCAGGAAAATCACACGCGCGCCTTAAAACTGCGCGCCCACATACCTTCTAGCTTAGTCAGGGCAAGTTCCGGACACGGCCGTACCTCGCCCGACTTATGCCGACCAAACCCATTTTTTCTGTTATTTGCAAAAACCAGTGCAGATACCCTTGTAAGGGTATTCGCGCTGACAGCCTACCGGACTATATTAAGCGACGTCCTCGTCGCTACGCCAAATCAGAAGGCTACAAATTCATTCACACTCCAAAATGCTGACGAGGGCGGAACCAATTCCGATTAGCCGATAGACTCAGGGTTGGGGCCTCCAACATTTCATGCCAACATAACTATATGCTGCCAGGGTTTCAACCTGAGTTTCCGTTGTCCTGACACTAGGACGGAGGTGTATTACACATCAATACTACAGCATAAGTTCCAAGGGCCACCTCAAACCGTTCCCCCCTCTTCGTCCTAGACAAAAGCCGACTTTTCGTTGGGTGTCCCAGTTAGACTCTCTCTTGTAAGCAGAGTTATAATGGGACGCGTGCCTTAGATGAAACCTAAGAAGGCACTCCCGCCTCCCTCGCGAAAATCCTCACAATCAAGCATATATATATATACATATGTAAATCTCCTGTCAGCTCTTTCTGCAGTCTAGTACATAAATGCTAGGTCTTCATTTTGGCCCACCATAGTCTGGTTGATCGAGCCAGATCTACGGCCTACCGCATTGTTGTCTTAGTGCCAGTCTCTTCGTTGGTTATGCAACGATAGGTTTTCTCTTGATAGACATTCAATCAGGGCGTCCAAACTACTCGACTCGTATCCCTTGCCATCCCACTGGAGTAATTTCCTTGGGGCGTGCATAACCCCTTAAACGTTTACCCCGTTGGTAGGCGTGGGCCCACAGCCAGGTTGTGCTGGTTTGCACCCATCCAGTAGGGGTTGCGCCCTAGAGGTGCTAACCTTTACCGTTTAGCTTGGTATTTCTCAAAGTGCCTTAGGATTAGCACAGGTGTCTAGGCGGCGCATCGCAAAATAAACTCACAGGGCCACTGCGGGACGACGCAGGGACCCGCCCCACTTTTAAGGGTATTTACCAGCCCCCTATGGGACAACATAGAGGGCACGGCCCCTTCTCACAATCACAAGCAATTTCACCGCTAGACTCAGACGAGGCCGTGGCCTACTGACTTGATCAGAGACAGCAGACCACACATCCCATAACATCTTTATGCACTGACTTGCGACCTTCTCAGTTCCACCAATGATTCCAACCCGTAACCCTGGCTCCTCTCGTCAGACTTTATCATTCAAACATTGTTTACCATGTCCTTAGATCTATCACCCATTTTTCACATGAAGGGGGTCTCTCTCAACAGGTCTCCCAGCCACCCCTCTCGTTACAGGATGGACTATCACGCGACCTGGGTTGCACTGTCGTCAATAGACAACGTTCCCACCTTCCATAATCCGAGGGGTCCCAATTATAAAACAACTTTACTGAGGAGCCTTCTTATGGGCCACCTCCCCAACTTAAACACAAAACAACTCAAACTAAGGGGCCAACTTATGGGTCCCCTTCACAGCTCAGCCATAAACATTCGGCATGGTAAGCATCCGGGCCTTATAGGCTCGCAAGACCCCTCAGGGTCCTCATACATCTGTCACAAAAACGACCGCGCTGCCTCCTCTTATACCCGGCCGTTCCGCCCGCCCATGGGCAGACCGCATGAGTATACCGAAGAGTAGACGGCAATCATAATCACACAATACACATACATGAGATGTATCCCACACATCTCTCACACAAAGCCCTATTCATTGGGATAAAGCCACACGTGTGAGAGTGATTGTGATCGTCACAAGAATAAGTCTCACAGAGTCTGGAATCAAAGATACACTCGGGAGCAAAATATCTCCCTCAAGTCTCAATACGACACTCGACTCAAACCCTCAACACACAACTCGTAGGGTGTATTTGGGAACAAAATGCCTGCCCCGAAAATACTCAAATGCTCACCCCACTGTCTCACTCCGCAGGATAGAGTCACGTCCCAAGTGTCATGGACTCTCAGAACCTACTCAAAGATACAAATAAGAGTATCTGAATCATACAACTGAAAATGTAAGTCACGTATGTCGTAGATATCATACAACTAAGTCTCATCCCCTAGACCGTATCACACATAAAACTCATGCCGATCACACGCCGCCACCTATGTATATACAATTAGACGGGACTCGACTGACCAACTAAGAATATGTACACCCCTATCACGGCCTCTGCGTACAGAGGAGCCCTAATTCTACTGTCATATAGACAAACCAGCCCCTACTCACTCATAGCCTCCTGGTTCTGTCTGTATAACTGTGCCCTACCCCCATCTGGAGCCCGCTCTACCACTCGTCCCTGCCTGTCGTACATTCTCCCACCACTCTCTGTTACTCTCCCAGCCGCCTTGTCCTTGAGGAACTTCGGGCATTCAAGAGCTCTATGTACGTTGTCCTTGCAGAAGAAGCACTGATCGTCTGATCTCCCTCGACACCTCCTCTTCTTCTTCTGGGACTCAGGCAACGGCGGCGTCTCGCTAGTTTCCCTGCTCATCTTATGGCTCTGGGGCATACTCCATGACTCTGTCGGCCCCGCCTCCATCATCTGGGTACTTGGCCCTGCTAGCGCCTCACCTCCATCGGGTCAGTACGTCGGAGTGTCCAATCTCAGTGGCCTACCCTCGCGGACTCCTCCCATCGCAGTCGTCTCCTCGTCCCTATACAGGTCAGAAGGCTGGGGAGTCACGGCAGTCGCTGGCTCGCTCATAACTTCCTGCTGCTGCTCTGAGATGTGCTCTCCTAAGTCAGCTCCAGTAGCCCAAGAGCCTAACTGCGTCCTCAGCTCCCCTGTCTCTGGCACACGCTCTGGGGTCTTCTGTCTCTGAGGCTCTCCTGACGGCATGGCCAACTCCATAGCTGCCACTAACTCGTCCAATCGAGACGCCTCTCCCCCCACTGCCTCCGGCTCAGTGGATGCTGCTGCTCCCGTAAGGGCACCCTCCTGCACCTCCAAAAGGATTGTAGAGGACTCCTCTGTGGGGCCCCCTTCCTCCATTGGAGGTTGGGGTCCCTGCGCCGGCTCGCCCTCAGGGATCTCAATCGTCATAGAGGTGGCTTGTTGCGAGGCCAACTCCGTGGGCGTCCTGAAGCTGAACCTCCCCTCCTCGGCTTCCCGCCGTGCTGCCGCCTCTATTGGGTCCAGGAATACCTTCCCCATTCCTCCTTGCTGAGGTGGCTCTATCGTCCCGTCCCGGCCAAAGAGCCCCTGTACCTCCTCCCCCTGGATACCATACCGGCTTTGCTCCGTCCAGTCGACCACCTTAGTGGCCGAGAGCCTCTCCACCATCGCTGCCATGTCCTGAAGACTCTTCTCCCACTCCGCCTCCTTGGCTTCCATGTGGGTCCTCCATGCCTGATTCTTTGCCCTCTCTTCTGCTAGTTAGGTGGACAACTGTCCCACCTCTAACCTCGACGCCGCCAACTCATCGCTGAGCATGGAGTACCGCTAGAAGGACGAGATTGCCACCTCACCTATCCTCCTGTCTGTACGCTTAATCTCTGTCCTGGCGGCTGAAAATCCCAAGTCCTCTCCCTCTCGTGCCTCGTCCAATCTTGCACTCCCCTGTCCTGCCTCTCGCGACCTCAGGCGAGCAGCATCCCTCTTGCTCTCATAGCCGGCTCAAGCCTCACTAATCCTCTGCTCGCTCGTCGGAGGGTCAATTGGCGGCTTTGGCGCTTCTCCTGCGGCCTCCATCCTAAGTTTTTCCAAGTACAGCTCCTCGAGGCGTACCTGCACCCTTGCGCGCTTCTCTTCTTTCGTCTCCCCCGGTGGCCTCCCTGTCCTCGCCTCGTGACCCTCTCGCAGTGAATCTCTCTCACTTGTCCCCTCCTCTACGGGTGGCGGCCCTGACGGAGGCTCCCCGGATGTCGGCACCTCCACATCCATGCGTGCACTTGTAGACTCAGTTAGTTGGGGCGACACAGTAATAGGTGTCCTTGCCCTCTTGCCCCCCTCTGGCTCCGCCTGCGTCGGGGGTGGCGTAGCAACTTACGGTGGGGGGCCCAGCATCTCCTCGCTGTCCGGTTCAGGAATTCCTTCAGGCCAATACTGCCGCGCCTGTTCAGGAATCGGGGTAGGAGGGGTATCATCCCCAACAGTGATAACCCCCTCGGTCTGGCGCTCCTCAGGTTCGCGAGACCCCGCCTCAGACCCCGGCTCAGGTGGCTCCTCCTCTGGCTCATCCTCCATGGGCTCATACCGTGCTGGTCCGCTCTGGTCCGCTCCCCGCTGTGACACCCCCCACTGGGACGCATCAAGATGAGCCTCAAATCTGTCGAGCGGCGTCCTCAACGGCACCGTCTCCCCCCCTTCTGGCAACGTCGGCGACGGGCCCTGTAGATCACTGCCCGTGATTCGGCGAAACTCCACCTGCTCGAGTCCATAGGTAGGGGGTAGCTCCACCGCCTGAGCTGGCCCTGCGGCCTGAACTGGCTCCACCGCCTGGGCGGCCTCTGCTGGCCCCTCTCGCTGTGCCAAGGCCTTTCGGCCCCCTCTGGTCGTAGTGGTCCCTCTCGCCTCTGGGCCCCGTGACCTTTTAGTCCTTTGTCGTCTCTCCACCCTGGGCTCTGGTCTCTCGGGCTCTAGTCGTCGAAATGCCTGTCTCGGCTGGGCCTGGCAGTCCACCCAGCCGTGTGCCCTGTCCTGGATCTGCCTCGCCAATGACCTCTCCGACCTCCGTGTCCAGAGGGGCAGCATCTGCATCCACTCCTCCTGCCCAGTCCCCTGGTCGCGCATATACTGCTCATAGGCCGAGATGAACTCCTCCGCATTGCCTTCCTCCAATCGAATAGGCAATCCATCCGGTCCCATCGGCGAAGCCCTCAGCATCTGCATCCTCGCCTCCACATCCTGCCATGTCAACGTCTCCTCTCGAATGTGCGCAATAGGCTCCTCGAAGCGCCCGACTCCCCTCAGGTGCCGTATCCTCTCCAAGGTAGACCAGCCGTCCCGTGTCGCATGTGCCTGGTAGGAGTCAAAAAAAAGCTCTATGTTACCGTCGTCGAAGATAGGCGTAGACTCCCTCCCAAGCGGTCTGCACGAGTCATCCCCTCCTGATGCTCCCTGAGGCCCCTGTCGTGGTCGCGCGCCCCTCCCGCCCCTCTGCATGGCTGTCTTCGGAAAGTCAGACCTGCACAACAGGCGAGAGAAGGCAAGCAGGCACACAACAAGGTTAGCCCTCGGTTCATCAAGTTTTTATGACAACACACATGTTTTTTTCAACTCCCTCACTTGTCCTGACCATAACATGCGATACCTCAAGGACCAATCTACTCTGAGAAAGGTAGAGTTCTTTACCTATTCTCTGGCCACGAATTTCTTCATCCTGGTCCCTGATACCCAATCCTGCCAGCCCGTCCCGTCCAGCTCCTCGATCTGATAGGCCCCAAATTCGCCGCATCGCAATATTCTATAGGGGTCCAACCATCTCTTGTCAAGCTTCCTCGACCATTGCTTTTCCAAAGAGGAGTTGTATAATAATACAACATACCCTACTGCCAATGACTCCTTTCTTACTCGCGCCATCTGGTCCCACCTCATCTTATCTTCCATGCGACTCCTCTCCACCTGACCAGCGGTCTCTCGCAATCTTTCTTCGGCCGCCCCCACTTGCCGCGCCCGAATATCGAGCAGTTCTTCGAAAGACAGGTTTACCTCCAAGTCCTGGCGCCTCCACGTCTTCATAAAGCTTTCTATGGGAAAGGTGGCATGATTCCCATACCATAGCGTGGCTAGCGCGTACTTGGTAGTCCTCTTTACCGTAACATTCTCCACGAAGAAAGCTGCGCGTAGGAACTTCAGCCACTGACCAGGCTTGCCCTCTGTCCACTTAGCCAGGAGATTTGTGATAGTACTTTACCCTCTTTCCACAGGAGCGTTCGCTTGAGGGAGTGCAGCCGTAGTATAGTTGGCAACTACGCCATACCCTGCAAGCAACGTCCTCACCTCATTGCAGGTAAACTCTGATCCTCGATCCATCACGAACTCCCTGACGAAAGGGTATCGCAGGTAATACTCCTCGATGCAGTTCGCCAAAACCGGGTCAGTCTTCGTTCGGATAGCTCGTCCGTCCACAAACCCAGTAAGGTTATCCCGTGCATCGAAGATGTAGTTACACCCATTCTCCCCTGCTGGCATGAATAACAGGTCGAGGTATACGACCGCACCCACTTCCCTTTCTAACATTGGGTGTAGGGGTTCTCCAGACCTTTGCGCTGACCTCTCTTGACAAGGTATACAGGACCGGCAGTATTTGATAACCATCGTCAGCATCCCGTCCCAGTGGTAGAGCTCGCTTATCTTCGCGCATGTGGCACTTACCCCTCTTTGCCCCCCTACTATACCATCGTGTAGGGCCGCTATGATATCAATTTGCCGGTTTCTCCCACATACGATCCTCCTGGGGTTCCCGACCTGCCGCTTTATAAACAAGTGGCCGTCCCTTACCACATAGAGGTGCCTCATCTTCTGTGCCTTGGCACTTGCATCTCTATCCCTCATCTCACATGATAGGAGCAACCCCAATTCCCGGTAGATCCCATCGTACTCCTCCGCCCGAAACGTCTCCTTGATTTCTCCTTCCTCGAATTCGTCGTCTCGGCTTTCAGGAATCAGAATCTCATCCTCCTCGTGACTGAACGAGCCCTTCCAGTCGAAGTCTCCCTGTAGGAGCATATTGGTGAGCAGGTACATCCCTCCCATTAGCTGTTGATGCTCCTCTACCTGAGTGGGGCCTTCCTCTATTGTCCTCACTTCCTCTACCAGACTATGCGTACCTGCCAACGCCAACTTCATCATCCAACCAACGTCCTTACTTCCCCACGAATCCTCCTCCTGAAAATGCTTGAGGACTAACTCTTCCTTCTGCTCGTACCCCTTTCGTGTCAGCCATATGGGATGACTGACGCAACTGGGCACTCACACAAACCATTCGTTTATGTGCAGGCGGACGTCCTCCTCTTGATCCAAAAACCCATCAACTGGCGGTGTGTCTTCTATCGATTCCTCGTCCAATCCGTCCCAGTTGATGCGGCTTAACCCATCTGCCCTGTTCTTATTCCCTGGGATCCTTTCCAACTCGAAATTAAACATCCAAATATAGGTCAACCATCTTGCGACGGTTGGGTCAGATGGAGTATAATTCTTCAGGGAACATGTCAGTGCAGTAGGGTCCACCCTCAAGATGAGTCTCCTGCCAAAAACATAGTTTCGGAAGGTCCTTAGGCAATGAAGTACCGCCAGCGTCTCCTTCTTGAACTGAGAGTAGTTCCTCTCAGTTGTATTGAGGGTACGACTTTCGAATCTTAGCGGTCTCTCATTCCCCTCAGTATCTGCCTGAATCAGGACTCCCCCCAAGGCAGTTGGCCCAGCGTCCGTCTCAATGATGAATGGTCTTTCCTCCATGGCCTCATAGTTTGGCGCTCCCAATACCAAGCCTCCTTCCTTAAACTCTCCCTTCATCCTACCGACCGCCTCTTCCTGGTCTTCGCCCCAGACCCATTCTTGATTCTGGCGCACCAACTTCCTTAAATGCTCCGTCTTCGTGGCAAAGTCTTTCACGAAACTCCTCCAAAATCCGCACGTCCCAAGGAAGCTCCTCACATCCGTTATCAAGCGGAAGGGCACTGGTCACTCAAGAATCTTATCTGTCTTCTTCACGTCAGGCCTCCGCCCACTCTCATTGCAGACAAACCCTAGAATCATGGCCTCCCTCATACAATGTTTCGACTTGGGGCCGCTCGCCGTCAGGTTATTTTCCTTCAATAACCCCAGAACCTGATCGATGTCTTGGACATGCTTCCAGACAAAGCGCCGCACACCGGGCATCGCTTCGTCTTCCTCCTTCTCCTTCGGATCTTTGACCGCCAGGTCATCAATATAGGGTTGAGTGATATGTGGACTGACCGTCTGCATGGCCCTGATCATATGCCTTTGCACCATCGTCACTGCATTCGTCCAACCTTGAGGCACCACGTTCATATGAATCAACCCTCTGGGAGTGTGCATTGCTGTTACAGGCCTGTCTGGCGGGTATACAGGGAATTGGTCATACCCAGAGTCGAGGTCTATGAGCGAGATTATAGGTCTCCCTGCGCACGACTCTGACAGCGCGTCCGCGTTTGGTAACCCCCCCGCATCCCGCACCGTCTCGGCATTTAACCGCTGCAAGTCCTGCACCCACCTTAGCGTCCCATTTGGTTTGATAAAACAAAACCAAGGTGACGCATACGGTCCACTGGAATAGTCGGCCACTTGCGTCCGCATCTTGCCATCCAGGTAGTCCACCGCCTTCTTCTCCTCATCCGGATTTGGGTATCGCATGCCCCTTAGATTCCATGGCTCATGTGGGACCGTGTGGATCCTGATCATCGGGATCTTGTCCACATCCAGCCTCCCACGCTCGTCGTCATTGAATGCATACGCGCAGTGTCTTTTCTTCATCAGCCCCACCATCAACGCTCTCTCCTGGGGCGACAGGAAGTCGGGCTTCCCAATTATCAGCTTCCCCTCATTTTCATCGTTGATACGGCACGGCCCAGCCAACGCGTGCTCCCGCATACGCCGTATCAAACCTCGCTCCCGCTCGTAGTAGGCTTCCTCATCCTCTGTGACAAGCACGGGAACTGGGCGACACTTCTTATCTATGGTCTTGTACCGCCTTTGGGAACCCTGCTTAAGCCCTCCCCTAAAAAAGGCCGACTTATCGCTCGGGCCTGGGCCATCGCAGGGCCTCCCCTCCCTCCCGGAAGCCGATACACCAACTCCACCTCCCCCACCTGAGGGTTCTCCAAAACTAGTTCCCTCAATGCCTTAATGGCCTCCGGATCCGCCATATCGTAAGCCGACACCACCTCCATGGCCTTATTCACATCCGTGAGGCTCAATGTCAGCACCTCAGCCCTATCTTCCTCCTCGGGCATTTCCCAAAGTCGTCTCCGCTCGTTCTCTGACTCCTCAAAGGTGAAGGAGCCTAGATTGGCCTATTCCTCCCGCTCCCCGGCCCCGTGTTCCGGCATGTGACAACTTCATAATTCCCACACGCCGGGTCGCACAGGAGCAGGATCATTATTCCATCGTGCTTCTTGAAGATCAACATTTCTGTCCGGCATATAAACGACCGCCCCAGAAGGATGGGATGATCAACATCGGGCATGACGAAGAAGCAAGTTCTGGCTCGCACCTTCTCAATCTCTATAATCACATTAGACGCTGTGCCGCAAAAAGCGGCCTTGCCGTTAGCACCATGCAGCATGCCATGGTCCGAGCGGTCGATGTAAATGCCTATCATCACCGCCTCCTTCTCCCTGATAATGTTCATCTCCGCGCCCGTGTCCACCATCCCAGCGCATTTCTAGTTCTTTATCACCAGATCCACCTGCCCACACGCCACACATTTCCAGTCCATCCTTGTCCCTGCCTCAGTCCACTCCACCTCCCGGGGCAGGACCGTACTCAGATGGACATTTGGTACCAGCCTTCGCGAGAGCCGCCCTTTCAACTCACCACGGAGCCTTGGCACCGACGCCAGGATATCCTTTAAGTTCATCAAGTCATTGTGGCCTTCCAGGAGCTTGTCCACCATCCGCTCAACATCAAAGCCTTCTTCCATCCGGACCACGTACTTCTTCCTCTTAGGCACGCTGTCAGGCAGGCTTGGCTCGGCCTCCTCCCGAACTCCTCTCTTTTTGGCCCTCAGCTCCGCCCGCTGATCCTCCTCTTGTCAGAGCCTCTCATTCTCTTCCTCGTCATCCTCTTCATCTTCCTCCGGAACCTCAACCACCTCTTTCCTACGTCTAGGCTCAGGCTCCTTTCGAGGGGGTGCCTGACTGGGCACCTGACTGGGCTCTTGACTAGGCCCAACCTTATTTTGGCTCCTGGTCCGAGCCGCCTGCGGCACCCTCCCATGCGACGTGGGGGTCCTATAGGCCATACCTGACCTAGGGCCCGCCCCTACGGTCGCCACTTTTGGGTACCCCTGTTGTTCTGGCGAAGGCTCAGGTCCGGAGTCGTAGAGGAAGACCTCAGGCAGATTGGCCTCCCACTCTCGGGCTTCTTCACATAGGACTTGCAGCTTCCGCTGGTATCTCCCCACCTTTTGCAACAGATCTTCCATCCTTCCTAGGAGGAGTATGGCCGGCTCTCCCTTGCCTTCCTGCCCCTCATCGTCCGACTCGACGACTATTGGCTCCTCTCTTATAGTCCCCGCCTTTAGACGCTGGGTGACCTCCTCGCTATCTCCCACAATCTCCTCAACTTTTATGGCCAACTCTTCTTTCTCCTGCCACATCCTGAACATGGTCGGGGTTGTCGATGGCCCTGCCGCCGCTCGCCTAAGAGCTTCTTGCCTGATTCCTCCCGGGGTCCTAGGGTCGATATTCTCTCCCCACTTATAGTATATATCCCCGTCCATACAAGAGGAAATTAGACCTGCTAACTCATCATCTCGCCGCCGTTGGCAGAACCGTATAGTATGGCCCACCTCGCTACAATGCCAGCAGGTGGCGTTTCGCCAATCAAAGCGGGTCTCCCATACCCTTGGCCCCCCTCTTGGCCACCTCGGCCACCTTGGTTCTGACCCCCCTGACCATTCCAACCACCCCCGCGACCCCCACCATTTCCTCCTCGGCCTCGGCCGCCACCTCCTCGACCCCCTTGACCTTGGCCTCCATTGCCTTGTCCGCCTTGTCCTTGGTTTCCTCCACCAGCCACACTAGCCTGCGAGGCCTGTTGGGAGGGAGGTGGTTGGGCCACAAACTGACCCTGAGCCGCAGGGTAGCTCGGGGCCCCATACTTGTCGCTGGGCCCGCGTAAGGGACCATTTGCCCGGGCTGGGTTTGACTACCCCCGCACGAGGCGCAGTGATTACAACTAGGCCAGGACGTAGGCTGACAATATGGCACCCAATGCCCACAAGCCGCCGGCGGCCCCATACATGATGGTCCGGTCGTCGCTGACGTTGTCGTGGCAGCAGGTGGCGGCGCAGCAATCGCTTGCGGGACCTACCCTTTTCCGGATCCTTGACCCCCCACTTGCAAATTCCGCTGCTTCCTCTGGGCCTTCGTTAGGATCTGGGAGCCCGTCTCTTCTCCACCATAGTCCTCGCGCCTAGCCTCCTCTTCCACTGCCCCCGACGCCCGGCCTTGGGCCACGGTCACTCCCCTCCTTTGCACCTTCGCCTCGTTATCATATCCCAACGCTGCCAATACGTCCGTGACGATCCTCTTCACCCCTGGGGTCCCGAACGCGGTGGCGTCCCTTTCCTTTCTCTTGCGCCTTTGCAGCCGCATTTGATGCTGCTCCACCTGGTCCAGGTTCCCCTCCTCCACCCCTTTGTCGATAGTGGCCCAGGTGAGTTTCTTACTTCCCCCTCCGTGACCCGTCAGCTCCAAGGCCTCCAAGCCAGTAAGCAAACCCAAAAATATAGCACACTACGTTTCTTCAGCGATCCCGTGCACCTTCCGCGCCCTCCTTTTAAACTCGTGCACAAACGCCCCAATCATAGAGAAGTCATCCTTGTTCATGGCCTCCAAATCCGCCGTGGTTAGCAAGCCATCCCCCAACCTATACTTTCTCTGCATCATGTCCCTGAACCTCGCCCAACTACCATTGGCGGCATCCACGACCTTGGCCACTCCCTGATGGTGGCTACGAAGGACATATCTTAGGACTCGCTGGAGTTTGACCTCATCCGACAACCCTACCAGTGCTTGCTCCGTCAGGTCCAGCCAGTCGAACACCCGTTCTCCCTTGAAGTGGAAAGTATCAACCTTCGGGACATTGCTCGGTGCTCTCTCGCGCTTATCCAGGGCCTCAACAAGGTCGTCGATCGTTAGAAGCTTTCTCCCGCCGTCCGCCATAGCTTCTGGCATCTTGGGCTGAATGCCCTGAACTCCAACCTCCCTGTTACAATGACAATGGGACGCAAGGGTTCCTCTCAGCAACCCAAATTCAGTTGATCCTATCGGGCCAACCACTTCTACCCTCGATATTCTTGACTTGGCAGACATTCCTGTCCCTGTTCCCTCTAGGCTCCCCTAAATAGGACTTATCCTTACCACAGGGTATCCTCACACATTTACATCAATCGCACTATCAATCGTACCGCCAGTCAACCGAGTCATCTATACATACTGCCATTCAAACCACCACACAGTCTGTCTCATAGTATTTCCCTTATCCATTCATATACCTAGTTCGCACTCATTCCCTTTCCCGAATGTCGTTCCACCAGGGACGACGGTAGGCTTTCGTCATCCCCGGCAACGGCGCCACCTGTCGTGCGCATCGGTCCGGCACCGCACGTGGCAGCGCGGGACCCTCTCGGCCGCGTGACGCAGGAGTTGGACCAACCTCGATACCAACGCGCAAATGGAGCTTCCTTAGGCCGCTTCGGCCGAGTGTGCCAGCCATACCTCTCGCGAGCCCCTACGACAGGAGAGGGCCTACACGAGGCACAACTTACCTCCACCTTACGGGAGCTGTCACCTCCCTTCGGTGGGCGTATCCCCGCCGAGCTACCAGTCCACAGTACGAAAGCTACTCAGTTGCAATCGCAGAGGTGGACCAGCCGAGGGCGTTTCTCGTTCGCTGTAGCATAGGGGGTACGCGCGGTAATACGCCTAACGGATCCGCACGCGGGCCGACATCTTGGGGGGCTGAAGTCCCAAGCGCGGCTCGACGTCGGTCGACTAGGACGCATCCCCCACACCACGCGCACACCACTCTACGGACACGAAAACAAAGCACACGCGCACGCACACATTGCACATGTGACACAACATAAACAACGTGACAACGCTCCTAGCCCCTCGATAGCCAATCCATAACTTTCCGATGCGGAAATCGGATAGGCGTCGAGCGCGAGACTTAGCATAAAACCGCGCGGACGCAGGGCTAACTCATATCGACTAACAATGAAAACGTACGCAAGCAGTCGCGATGATGGCGTACCATGTAGTACCCATACTCGTGCGGCCCTCGTTAATCTCGAGGGTCGCGTTCGACACTCAAGTGTCGGCAGACACACGCCTTGAGAGTTAATCTCTCGACGTTGGACAACCGTCGTGCGTGGTTGGAGGCCACACCATCTTCTGCACCCTGTGCAGAGGGGTTGAGTAGACAGCT